TCCCTCCCTCCCTCCCCTGTTACAGTTCTCCTCCCCTCCAGATTCCCAGCCCTAAACCCCTCGCCCCTACTCCACTCCACTCTGTCCCCAATTCTTCATCAGTGGCATGTACACTGATAGTGATGTCACTGCACATGTGCAGACACTTCCTACGCCAGTACTGTCATGGCCAGATGATGTCGCTGGCTATGTCTACACATGCACAATAACATATTATGTTATTGATAATCACTCCATTCCTCGTCCAGATATAAACCATAGGTGTAATTCCATTTTATGTTTCATCTTAATTTCACTTCATGTCTGTCATAATCTGAAGCCAGTGGAATGAAGAATCCCTCTGAATGCGAAGAATTGCGCTCATAATGCACAGAAGACAATGGTGCAAAGTCACGTTTACAGGCTATAAATGAGGCCTTTGAAATCAGAAACAGCAGACACTGCCCTACTGAAGATTGAGGGTGTTTATTGCCACAATGAAACAGAATTTTACCTGGGCAAGAAATGTGCTTATGCCTACAAAGCAAAGAGCAACACTGTGACTCCTAGTGGTAAACCAAACAAGACTTGTGTAATTTGAGGTAAAGTGATCCATGCTTATGGAAACAGTGGCATGGTACGTGAAAAGTTCTGCAGTAACCTTCCTGCTAAAGCTATTGGGCATTGGATTCATATGATACTGTACCTGTCGAGGATCTAAACCACAGCTGTACATAAATGAACAAAAATAGTAAAACGATTTAAAAAAAAATCCCTGTTTCATGATCTTTGGGCCATCTGTGTTTTGAAATTCCAGGTTAAACAAAACAGGAGCATGCTCTTTGAGGTCATTTCGGTTGCTTAGCCCTTTTGAATATGCTAGGAAGTTCAGTGGTCTCAAAGGTTTTAGTTGAATTGAGACTGATAGCAGTTTGGTTAATTCTGGTCTCAGTACTTTATTTTTTAAAAAAATCCCTAATAAAATTACTATCAAACTCCAGTGGTGTCAAATAGCACGATATAAAGCGATTGCAGGCTATGCTACACATAAAAAAGTTGGCATAAATTTAATGCAAATGCATTACATTTTTTGCACGGAAGTTAGTCGTACAGTAATATTATAATCGAACACTGAATAAAAATCCATGCTTTTTTTCTCTATGCTCCACAGTCCTATGTAATTTAATAAATGCAAAGCAATTCATAAGGTTGGAAAAGAACACGTAGTGCCTTCTAGTCTGCATGTGATACGTTTCTATTAAAAACACAAGAATGTAATGGGGTGTAGAGTAACTTTGATTGATTGAAAGGAGGGTTTGGCTGCAGCTTATGCAATACATCCTCTCCATTACACTGCCCTAGTTTCTTCAAAAAGTGAGTCATTCACAGTGCAAATCACCTGACTCTGTCATGCAACTAGTCCAGATCAAATGCAACCTATTATTACCTGCAGTAAAACGAGAATCATATGATCATCTTTCCAAAAGATTCCAGTAACAGTTCTCTGATTTCACATCAGGGCGAGGCTATTTCTACATTTGCTACACCTCCAGTACTTCACACATTATTTCAGATTTGAACTTAATTGTTTCAGAAGAATATTAGTAATTTGCAGAAAAGGTATGAAATTTGAAAATCAGATTTAGAAGCTTCCATTTGTGGTAATGACATTAAAATGTACAAAGGGCAATTTATTTTGTAATTCTCAAATATAGTTGACTTGTGCAAGTCCAATGTGCGATGTAAATGCAAAATTTTATAATGGATTTACATTGCAGCTGCTGGTCTCTGAATGGTTCTGGTCAGGCAGTACCCTGGTTATATTACATGGATCCTCCATGGCTCAATTGCCATATCTTTGCTCAGCAGAGAGCTCCAAGCATGTTTGATTGTACACCACCTTCCAGCTGTTAAAAAAAATTTATGTCTTTTTTCTCGCAACCTCAGGACATTCTAAAGCAACTTGCAGCCAATAAACTACATTTTAAGTGTAATCACCGTTGTAAGGTAGGAATTTAACCACCAGTCTGGTGCACAGCAAGGTGTCATAGACAACAATAAAAAAAATTATAAATAATATGCTTTGCGTTGCTATTGTTGGTGAGGACACTGGAAGGGATTACTGCACTTTGTGGTAAACATGTCTCATTTGGCAGTGGCAATTCCAACAAAGCAGCACTTCCTCAATTCTCGTATTTTGCACCCAAAACCTTATCACTCAGAATGCTACCAAACAAGGACTGTGGTATTCTTCATTGTAGCTTGGCTCTACAAGGAAGGAGGGTGAATGTTTGAAAAGGAATAATGACAGGGGTTTGAATAATTAGGGGAACAGAGCAATATTTTTAACAGTCACAGATGTAACTGCAGGATGTTATTTTGGCACACTCTGCCAGGGTCACTGATCTCCCAGAACAGCATTTTAAGGTTGAACATTTTCAGGTTGTCATTTAGAGTTCAAGGTCCATATCAGTGCTAATGACACAGGTAGAAAGACAGATGAGTGTCCGTAAGTAGCATTTATAGAGTGAAGAAAGAAATTAGAAAAGTAGGAACTTAAAGATAGTAATCTCTCAAGTGCCATGCATCAGGGAATAAAGAAGTAGTAGAATTGTGGAGACAGAAGGTGAAGAGATAATGCAGGAGGGTTTTTAATTTCTTGGGCCTTGGGATCAGTGGAGATGAGATTTTCTGACTGATGGTTGCTCTGAACACATATCTACGGTGCCGTTGAGTCTCAAACGTCTTCCCTCACTGCTTGACAAAATAACTGTATAAACACAACTAACAATGAGTTCCAGTAACTTAGGTTTAAATTTGCAACAACTCCTTCCACAGTTCTTGGCTTACAGGAATATAATTTTGCCATTTTGTTACACTATCCAAATTAAGAAAAATAAATGATGTGATCTCTACACATTGAGGTGTGTAAGGGATGATGTGGAACCGTTCCTGAGCATTGATCCATTGGAGTTAGAGCAGTGAAAAGATTTCAAAATGTGGGGCTGGGAAAATGGATACGGTCAGAGGAAAGTGAATGGTAAGAAGGATCTGGAGGATATTAGCATATAAGAGTTGTTGAAGCTTGAAAACTTTGCCACCTAAATGGAAGAAAATACGTTTTTGTTAACTTGTTAGGTGATGTAAAGGAATGGAATTGTGGACCAGGACAGGAAGAAGGCATTAGGCATGCTTGCATTTATTGGTCAGTGCATTGAGTATATAAGTTACGAGATCATGTTGCAGCTGTACAGGACCTTGATTAGGCCACATTTGGAATACTGACTTCAATTCTGCCTTCTTGCTATTGGAAAGATGTTGTTAAACTTGAAAGGGATCAGAAAAGATTTACAAGGATATTGCCAGGGTTGGAGGATTTGAACTATAAGGGAAGGATGAATAGGCTAGGGATATTTTCTCTGGAGCGTTGGAGGATGAGGGGTGACCTTACAGAATTTTGTGAAATCATGAGGGCATGGACACGGTGAATAGTCAAGGACTTTTCCCCATAGGTTTAAAGTTTAAAGAAAGATTTAAAAGGGTCGTAAGGGAAACATTTTCACACCAGATGGTGGTGTGTGTATGGAATGAACAGCCAGAGGAAGTGGTGGAAGCTGGTAAAATTACAACATTTAAAAAGCATCTGGATGGGGATACATGAATAGGAATGGTTTAGACGGATATGGGCCAAATGCTAGCAAATGGGACTAAATTAATTTAGGAATCTGGTCGGCATGGATGAGTTGGACTGAACGGTCTGTTTGTGTAGTACACTCTATGACTCTATCACAGCATTGAGATAGAATGAGTCAATGCTGCAAATAGAGTTGTCATATATACATGCAGTAACATGTGACATTGTGCATGATTATTAGGGTGCATCAAGAGCAGTGGTTTGACGAAAACAAAATATCATTGCAGATATCAGCAGCCATGAGCAAATCTGAAACATACGAGGTAGGATTTCAGTTGAAGGTTGAGATATTTGCTGAGAAATAAAGTGACTGTGAAAGAACGTTTTGGGAGACACTTGTTTGCATATGAGAAGGGAAACAGGAAACAATGAAGGTGCTAAAGGTAAAAGAGACAAATGGAAGTCCTGGTACCAAGAAGAACAGAACGTCTTCAAGAAGGATATTCCCAGATGAGAAATGGCAGCAAATTATATAGATACATGTTGTATCACCTAGTGAAATATCTAGCAGAAATAAAGAGCAGGTAGTGGATTTGGCAGCAACAAAATAAAGAGGGCTCTAAATCTGGAAATATATCTGCTGCAGAACTCATGGGATTATGGATTACAGGAACTCCAAACAGAGCTTAATGTTTTAACCAGCAGCAACAGTCCAAGCTGTCATTTGTTCTGAAGAGGTCCCTACAAGTAAAGCAGAAATTATGAAGAAGTGCAACCACGGCAAGGGTGCAACCATACTAAGAGATCTAAGCTTTCTACTTAGCATAAAATAATTGAGAGAACTGCCTTTTGTAAGTCAGAAACTTAGTAATAATATAGCAAAAACAATAAATTGTAAATTTTATTATAAATTCTGCGCACACTATTTGAAGAAAATTGTTTACTTCTTTGGCTGAGAAAGTAAAGAACTTTGTTAATATTTGCAACTGGAAAACTAACAAAAGGATTTCAATCTTGTAAATATCCATTCAATTAGGGTATAGATTTTATTATCAATTAATTTTAATTTTTGTTAATTTCAACTGTTTAATTTTGTTTAATTTTAATTGCCAGACCTGCTGAGTTTTTCCAGCAACTTTGCTTTTGTTCCTGATTTACAGTATCCACAGTTCTTTCATTTTAATTTTAATTTTAATTTGCTTAGTCCTATTTCTTATATTGTCAATGATACAAGTTGAGCTACTCATCCTAAGGAATGGAATTAAAATAAGATCTAAAAATTAAGATAAAGAAAATGTATTAATGAAGTAATAAGCTGAGATGTTCGCCCTATGGGCATACGTACAAAATGAGGTAGGTACTAAAGCTGAAAGTCAGACCACAGTAATGTTTCTATGCAGTAATTTATTTAAAATGTATCTTATTTCCATTAGATTTAATTCAATAATTCACTTGATTAACTTCTTTCACACAATTATAATAATTAACAATCTTCTTTCCACAAATATGAAACACAAGCATTTAAATTCACTCAAAATTTTATCCACAAATACATCATTTGAGAAAAAAAACACAATTTACTTCCATTTTATTTATTTTATTTGCTTGTATCTAATTTAATTATTCATACAAATAATTTACTATATCCTCAGCAGCATTCTCAAAATCAACTGCATCAAAATTTACACCTATACATCTTTCTTTGGAAGAAAATTTGCAGTTTGGCATGTTCTCATGTGTCTGTTCCTTGTCCATCTAAATGTAAGAGGTCACAGGTTTGGAAGGTGCTATTAAAAGAGACTTGGTAACTTGCTGTAGCTCATTTGTAGATGGTACAAATCGCTGCTAATGTGCACTGGTGACAGAGGAAGCAAATATTTATGGTGGTGGTTGTAAACTACTTCGATGGTACGGTAGGAGCTGCACTCTTTCAGGTAAGTGGAAAGTATTCTATCATATTCCTGATTTGTGATATGTGGATAGACAACATGCTTTGGGGAGTTAGGAAGTGAGTTACTTGCTGCAGGAATCTCAGCCTCGGACCTGCTCTTGCAGCCACAACAATTAAACAGCTGGTCAAGTTAACCTTACGGACAATGGTAATGCCCAGGATGTAGATAGTGGGGAATTCAGCAATGGCATTGGTGTTGAATATCAAGGGGAGATGATTGGATATTCTCTTGTTGGAGATGATCATTTTCTGGCAGTTGTGTGCCGCAATTGTCACTGGTCACATATCAGCCTAAGCCTGAATGTTATCCAGTTCTAGCTTTATGTGGGCATGTATCTGAGAAATTATAAATGGTATGGAATTCTGTGAAAGTATTAACAAAAGTACCACTATTGATATTATAATGGTCGAAAGGTTATTGATGGCGCAGTTGAAGATGAGTGGACCAATGGTCCAACCTTGTGGTTTTTCTAGGGGTTCTTGATGCCATAATTGTTCAAATACCTTGGTGTTAAGAGCAATTACTCTTACCTCATTTTTATAATTCGACATTTTTGTCCATGTATGGTCTACTTGTGTAATGAGGTCTGGATAACTGGCTTAGGCAGAAATCAAACTGAGCATTGGGCAGGAAATTGTGGCTGAGTACCATTTTTTGTTCTGTAAATTGATCAGGTGTTAATTGGTCCCATTGGATTTGTCTTGCCTTTTGTGAGCACAAGATACCTTGGTAATTTTCAACATTGTTGGGTAAATGCATGAGTAAATGCACGTGTTGTCGCTGTGCTAGAACACCTTGACAATAGGCACAGTTAATTCGGGAACTCAACTCTTCAGTAGGACAACTGGCATGTTAGCAGGATCCGTTGACTTTGCTGTTTCCATTTAGGGGTGAATATTAGTGAAGAAAACTGAACTCATTTTCTCTTCTGTGCAGGACTGCCATGGGATATTTTATATCCAAATGAGTGGGCAGATGAGTTTAATAACTCACCCAACAGATGAAACCTCCAAAGGTCAGGCTCCCTTGGTACTGAACAGTCAATTTAGATTATGTATTATTTCTCTGGAGAACGACTTAAATTTCTAACCGAGAGATCAGAGTGACACCATTAAACCAAGACTGACACTTAATACTGATGATGGGTTTAAGTTGCAAGGGGCATTTTCTGCTTATTTGACTGCAGTACCTAATTATTTTCCATCAGTGCTTAACAACAGTATTTCAGCTACATTGTCCCACATTTATTTCCACATTGTTAAGTGTATTGGTGTTATGACCAGAAAAGGAGGGATGGAATGGCTTCCAATCTTTTCCTTCTCATTTGAATTTACTAGATGCGTTTAAATTTCAAAGGAAACAAATTTGCCAATTGAGCACTTGTACTTAATTGTTTACATGGTAGTTATGAAGATTTGACCAGAGTTTCTTCAATTTTTAAGTGAGGGGTCAAGTTTTCATTCTGAAGCCAACCTGGAAAAAAACATTAAACAGTTAATACAGACCCCAAACATGCAAAAGAAAATCCACACACACAATTGCAGATTAAAAGTAGAGATCAGTATACTTGGCCAAATGCTAAGTCAAAAAGAAAATAAACAGTTCACAGTTTATGGCTGGCAGTCTGATCTGGCTGCAGAACTCACAGGTTTTTCTTTCTCATTTTCTTTTTAATATTCATTCATTGAATATTGGTGTTACTAGCTGGACCAGTATTTATTGACTATTCCTAATTGCCTCTTGATCTGAGTGGCTTGTTAGGGACATTTCAGGGAGCTATTAAGAGTCAACCAAATTGCTGTAGGTCTGGAGTCATGTAGTTTAGATCAAAAACATATGGTAGATTACTTTCTCTAAACCACATTAATGAACCAGATTTTGTGTTTATGATGATCAACATAGGTTAGCTTTTAATTTCAATCTTTATTGAATTCAAAGTTCACTATCTGCCACTGTGGTATTCAAACCTGTTAGTACCACGACACTGCCTCTCTCCCTTAGTGATGATGTTCTAATATGTACTGGACTGTCCCTTTTTCTTCGGGAAAATTGTTGTTGAAAATGAAAGCCTTTACCTGTGGAACTTTGTCCGCTTGCAGGGATGTAGACACAGTTCAAACAGGGCTCAAAGCTTAGCAGTTAAATCGGAGAGAGAGAGAGAGCTCAGCAGCTTGTATCACTGTTCAAATTCAAATCCAATCATATTATCAAAGGTTGTATCGTATGACCTATCTCCATGTTAGCTGTATAATTCCAAAAAAAGAGAGTGGATTAGGTATGTCTGCCTGACCTCTCAGCCATTGTCATAAAGCTCAGGTGATGAATTGTTAATGTACAGGCAATTAACTCAAGATAGCTCATTATGCTATCTTGATAAAAGCTATCAACGCATTTGTGGTTATTATTGTTCACACAGGGTCCTGGAGACAATATGTCTGATGCTGTAATCAGTTTTGGTCATCTAGATGTTGGTGGAGTGCAATTTCAACTGAAAAGTTCAGTATGTGAAAACAACTAATGAGGGAACAAATTAATATAAGAAACACGCACTTCTGTGGAGAAATAGGACACAGTCATTTAAACATCCAGACATAATATGCGTTATTGGGTTCACACTTTCAATTTTTAATTCATACAAAGCACATTTTTTACCGCTTGTACCTTTATAAAACATTTTTGTTTCAATCACAAAGGAAAATTTTTATGAAACTTCTACAGCATGTGTTACACTACTTTTCATTTTTCAGTGATTTCTTATTTATGTCTACTGAGACCGAATAGGAATATTGACATTACTGTACAATTTAAAAAGATGATAGTTTGAATTATCACAAACAAACAACACCCGCACATGCTGACAATTACCTCATCATATTTAATTCTGTCCTAACAAACAACACCAGTGTATGGCACCAATTACCTCATTGTACTTTTAATCCATCTAAAAATACTGCACTTTGAGATAAATTTTGGTCTGAGATTATTAGACTCAGCATTCAATGACAAGAGAGCATCAAGGGACAAGAAGCTCAAGGATCAATGGAAATTTGTCCTTGGGTTTCACCAGCATACTTAGTGTGAGCTGTTGGCACTGATCACGTTTCCACAAGAGGCTTTATCGAACGTAGAAATGGAATGTCAAATTTCTGCCATGGTGTAATGTATTGGCCTGTGAAAGTGAATTGGAAAATTATGCTCGGTTCAATTTCTGTATACAATAGTATTGCCCCTGTAATGTGGAAGGTTATAGTACCATAAGATCACTAAACAAGGAATTTATTAACAATTTTCACATCACCTGCATAAAAACAAAGATTATAACATATAAAGCATTGTTCATGCTTTTAGTAATTGTAAGCAAAATTAAAATGAATCTGAACGACTGTAACTATTTAAATGGACATGACCACATGTTCAAGAGCAGTCTGTTTCATCACTTATCAAGGTCCCTTCACCATGGGAAATCTTTGCATTTATTTATTTGCATTTACTTAATTGAGAATAAAATAAATAAATGTATTAAAAAGAATACAAGACAATTCAATGAGATAGATTCCAACTTCAAATATAAAAGCTTTGAGACAGGTTCAAAAAGATAAAGATTTACTTTGAGAATTTACAAAGGAACTGCAGCACAATGGCTAAAATACTAAAATTGTGTTGGATTGAATAATGCATCCCTGTCCCTGATGTTCTTTTTATATTCTGGAGCTACTATGTTGGAAATGAAAAGTCATGTCCTTTCTCACCATAGAGCTGCACATGATTCAGAAGCACTGTATGTCATTGGACAATTATTACAAAAACACAATCATTCCAAGGCAGCCAAAAACCAGGCTCTGTCAGAGGATGACAAGCTTCCTCCTTCATACATTTCAAGTTGCCTATTGGATGCTTTTGACATTTCTCAATGTGTTGATTCTGTGAAATCTTTCCAGAAAGCTGAGAGGTTTTGATTTGAAGGGAAGGCAATCACATCAACTAGGCAGGGAAAAGAATTATGATAGGTAATGAATGAAAAATGCTAAGAATGGAAGAAAACAACATAGAAAATAAAACTATGGCCAGGAATTTTCCATTTGATGCTTCAGATTTATAAATTTGCAGGAAGCAAATTTCTTGGTGTTATATCCACCATGGTCCAGGGTGAATTATCTCATCTTATTATTTATGCAAGTGAGGTGTGGGCACATTACTTGGTGAGAGAAACAGAAATATTCACCACTTCTGGGATCTTCCAGCTTTCCAGGCTCTTATGCCATATTTACACAAACAATCAATGTTTCAGTTGCACTTGAAATGTAGCGCACTTACACTTACTAGAAGCTATTCATACACAGGAATATGCCCTTCATGGGAAAGGGGAATAAGTCCAGGCAATGCACTTTGTTTCACATAATCAAGTGTGAGGGACAATTGATCCCTAATGCATTCTCTATGGTAATACTTCAAATAGTTAGAACTGACTTGCCAACGAATCAGCACTTTTTTCTCGTGCAGGATAAATTGTTACTTCATTTGAAATTGACATTCTGTCCTGATGAGTCCAAGGTAAAATGTTTGTCTGCTATTTCAACAGTATTCAAATTCTGCACTACCAAAGGCCAATGTTTGATATTGGTTGCTTCTTCCATTGATGTTGAGTACTTCCAGCATTTTCTGTTTTATGTTTCCGAGTTAACAGGTACAATTAGCAAAGAACTGTACAAAATGTTAGATCTGTGAAATTTCCACACAATAACCAGGCGTTCATACTGCAATTATTGTGGGCTGAAGTGCCCTTTGAGTCAAATGTTTTGGAAGCTACAGTGTTTTCTCACCATGTTACACGACTTACCTCACTGCTTTACTGGCCCTCTAATCTGATTCTATTCCTATTTTACCTCACGTTATTCCTAGAACAACTTGCCACTGCAGGAATTGATGGCATCCCTGGTGATGGCACCACTTTTAAAAGTCCATTGTGTACCAGGACAAGCACCGTCAGTCCAGAGCTGCCCTGCATGATTCCTGACATTTGCCCTGGACATGGCAGACAAAAGAATTTAGGCACCCTGCTATGTAGGCAAAGACCTAGAAGTGCTGCTGGTTGGGACAGTTAAAATGCAGAGAATCCTCTTCCTTTAGGACCAGCAGAGGAGACCACAACATCAGACCACGCCAATGTGGTCCAATGTTGACACCCAGGACAATGCAGTCTAAGCCAGTTGAACGTAGGAAGAATGTCAATGACCTTCTCCAGTCTGCCAGTGTAAATGCTACACTCTTCCCTCCAATATCTCACACTCACTCTGTCTCTACTCCTGAACCAACCGTCCACCAAGGCCCATGCTCTACCACACTCATTAATGCCTGTGACACCTTCCCTCAGCTGCTGTCACCCACTCCACATCCCAACACTATTAAATCTGCATGCCCTCTGTGCTGCCTACTCACGCGCTCCGAGAACCTCCCCATCGGTCATAGTGTGCCACCCACTTTCATCTCCTGTAATACCTGTCTCTCTCACTCATTCCAGGAAGGAAAAAAAGCCCACGATAGGGTGGAAAGACTCAAGACACATGATGGGCTACCTGACATTTGGCTCGTCACATCTTATGTGGAGAGAATCCCGACCTTGACTGGCTGTGTTGAAGCCCTGAACTAGTATCAGAGGTTGCCCTCTTGTCTTGACTTGACTGAGGACTGCTGACAACAAAGATAAGCTTCCAGAATTTATGCCTGCATCAAACAACATGGAAATACAGCAGTACTATGAGCCTGTTATCTCCAGCTGAGGGGATAATGTGCAAAAGGTAAAGCAGGAATGCTGTGAAAATCCAGGTTGACTCAGACTGTGAGAGCATCAGGACAGGAAGCGAACAGGCCGGAAAGGCAAAAACAGAAATTTCTGGAAAAGTTCAGCGGGTCTGGCAGTATCTGTGAAATCAGAATTAACGTTTTGGGTCTGGTGACCTGTCCTCAGAATGGTAAGAGAGGCAGCCTGGTCCAGTCCATGACCTGCTGCATATCTCAGGATGCAAAGTGTCCAGCCTCTAGTTCCTTTGGAGTAAGCAAAGAGCTGAAGTCACCAGGTACACGCACAGGTTTTCATGTCAAGAGTTTTCAATATGTAGCTTGTTCAACACATTTAGAAAGATAGAAATCTGACTATTTAATATATGAATTGTGCTAAAAGGCGTTCAACAAGCAGTAATTCCCCTTAGTTGGCAACTCGCAGCTGCCTAGACAGAAATGTGGTTTACCACTCAGCAAATGTATAAAAGGTGCAAACATTTGCTCCTGATGACGAGATAAGCCTTGCACATCTCATCTGATTCTGATACAAATCTCACCACAGCCCATGCCACTTAGGCTTCTATAAGATTCTGCCAACAGTCTTTTTTTTAAATGTGTACATTAATCAATTTAATAAAGTTTATGTCTTAATGTGCACAGTTAAGCAATCCAACTAACCACCATAAAAAAAAACA